CCCTGTAAGCGACTTGTACCCTGGGTACAGGCCCTGGGCCTTTGGGTCCTGATGGAGGAGGGGGCTTGGCTTGATGAGGATGGAAGGAGGCTGATTTGCATCCAGACTTCCGGCGTCGGACAGCTCTCTATTGGCAGAGGAAGCTGAGGCCGGGGAAGGGGCAGGGATGCGTCCAGGGTCCCACAGGGAGCCAAGGCTGGACAGATGGGGCAGGCTGGGTGGGGCCAGGAAGGCCACGGCTGTTTCCAGCTGTTGCAGATGTGCTCCCTCCTGGGTCCATGCAAACTCCTTTCCGCCTGCGGACTGGCGAAGGGGACAGGGCATACAGCATGGGAGTTAGACTTGGCAGCCCCTTGACCCCAGACTGCCCCCGTCAATGGAGCAGGAGCTGCCCAGAACCCTTTTCCTGTTCTCCCAGATTCAGAGGCGTGAGCCCCCTTGGACCAGTCCTGGAACAGGGCACCCCGGGAGGGCCCCTCAGGAAGAGGCCCGGGCTGCGGCTTCGGGTGGGGCCGGCAGACTTTGCTGGGAGCCCAGCATCTGGAAGCCATCAGGCCAGGGGCGGGGGGAGTTGCAGGGGCGGTCTAGGGAGGGGGACATGCCTCCTCCAGGCCACACACAGGCCCAACCCTCGGGGAGCGTGGCCTTGGGCCCACAACTGCTGCCTCTGCTCCCTGGCCCGCAGCCCCGCCCCCTGGCGCACACGCCCCGCCCTCATCCTAAGCCACGCCCCAGCCAGCAGCCACGCCCTCTTTCCCCTGGCTTGCCTTCTCATCGCACTGGTCGCTGCTCCTGCAAGGGTCAGTAGCGCTCCCCACAGCATGGTGGGAGCCTCGCTTCTCCAGCACGGGGTGGATTTGTCTCTTGGAGTGGGTGGGCTGTGGGGAACAGTGTCCCCAGGGGTTGTTGGCTTGGTGTCTTTTTGGAGAGTGAGTGGTATTTGTCTTCTGTGAAGTCTTAGTCTAGTGGGGCTGGGGCTTGTGGTGCGAGGCGTGGCCGTGAGGGTAGGAAGGGAGTGCGGATGTCTTCCTCAGTCCTGGGGTGGCAAAGCCTGAGACGCTGAAGAGGTGCCCCAGGTGCCCAGCAAGTCACTCAGAAGTGCTCCAGGAGCAGGGACAGCGTCCCTGAATATCGTCTGCATCCCACGTGCATCAGAATCACACCACCCACGTTTCTGGGCCCCACCGGGCCTGCTAGTCAGACGCTGGGGCCAGCACCCATTGTCTGCACAGTTTCTAAGCTCCTGGATGTTTCGATGTTCAGACACACTGGGAATTCTGTTCCGGAGGAGAGACTGCTCCCCATGAGGAAAGCCAGGGACGGGATGGGTTTTGTTGTTGCTGTTGAGACAAGGTCTTGCTCCGTTGCCCAGACTGAAGCACATGGCGTGATCATAGTTTACTGCAGCCTCCAACTCCTGGGCTCAAGCAATCCTCCACTTCAGCCTCCTGAGTAGCTGGGACTACAGGCGTGCACCACCACACCTTGCTAATTTTATTTTTTTGTAGAGACAGGGTCTCATTACGTTGCCTAGGCTGATCTCAAACTCTTGGGCTCAATGATCCTTGGCCTTGACCTCCCAAAGAACTGGGATTACTGTGCCTGGCCCGGGGTGGGTTCTGAGCAGACTATCTTACCCTCAGTCAGCTGATTCAGTCCACCCTGGTGTCCCAAAGAGCACCCCTCCATCACCCCGTGGGGGTGGCCTGGCATCTTTTGCAGGAGGGGAGGGATACAGGTTCCACTGGGGCCCTCTGGAGATGAATGATAAAGAGGGCGTCTTGGCCGAGCTTGTCCCTGTCCTCTCTGGCAGCCTTGCCAACATTCCACTAACTCCCGAGACTCAGCGGGACCAGGAGCGGCGGATTCGAAGGGAGATCGCCAACAGCAACGAGCGGAGGCGCATGCAGAGCATCAACGCAGGATTCCAGTCCCTCAAGACCCTCATCCCCCACACAGATGGAGAGAAGCTCAGCAAGGTGGGTGAGAGCAGGGAGGGCTTCCTGGAGGAGGCGGCAGGCTACCGCCGGGAGAGGAAAGTGAGCTCTGGTAAACACTGCCAGCCTGACTCTCGGCTTTTCCACGCCCTCAGGCAGCCATTCTCCAGCAGACAGCCGAGTACATCTTCTCCTTGGAGCAGGAGAAGACCAGGCTCCTGCAGCAGAACACACAGCTCAAGCGCTTCATCCAGGTGCGCCCTGTCCTCCTTCCTGGCTCCCTCTCCCTGGCATGGGCATGCCTAGTACCCAGCCATGGGCCTGGGACTCAGGTGTGGCTGCAGGCCCCTTCTTGCCCACTGACAAGTACTTACAGGCACTTGTTTTCCTGCCCTGGCCTCAGTTTCCCCATCGGTCAAGTGCGGTGGAGTGGGCTCTGGAAGGAGCCAGGTGACTGTTCTGGAAAGCAGCCCATTCTCCTGGCATTTGGCTGGTTTGTTGGACTTGCAGAAGGGGCTCCCTAATGAAGATTCACCTGTGTTGGGCAGCTTTGGGGGGCTGCGATGGAGCCCCAATCTCCGTGGTGGTACCGAGGTGTCAGGCACACTGACCGACTCCTTGGGGTCCCCAGGAGCTGAGCGGCTCGTCCCCCAAGCGACGGCGGGCAGAAGACAAGGACGAAGGCATCGGCTCTCCGGACATCTGGGAGGACGAGAAGGCGGAGGACCTGCGGCGGGAGATGATTGAGCTGCGGCAGCAGCTGGACAAGGAGCGCTCGGTGCGCATGATGCTGGAGGAGCAGGTGAGGCAGCGCCCTCTGCTGGGCGCGGCGCGCGGTGCAGCGGGCGTGGAGCCTGGGGTCGCCCCTCATGCTCTGTGGCCTTGGGTTGAACCCTATTTGCAGGAGCATCTGCTGCGGTGCCAGGCCTAGGAGTGGGGTGCAAGCCAGACACGTCCCTGCCCTCGGGGGCCACCGTCTGCATCGGGGTGGGGGAGATTAGTCAAAAGATCTCAAAAATGTAACCATG